CACAGTACGAGGAGGAGGATGAACCTCCACACTTGTAACAGAGCCAGTGAAAGGGGAAAACCCAGGTACAGAGACCGGGAAGGTAAAATGTGGAGGTGGATGAAGGGAAGGAGAGGTTACAGGAGATTTTTTGGACTTCTGAGAAGTAGAGGGGCAACTTGGAGGAGATGTCGTACGAGGTCTTGTCAATACCAGGGTTTATGAGGGACAACACGAAGAAATGAGAAAAGACTGAGGTGTTGAAGTAGGGACGTCGGAGCCCAGGACAGCAAAAGAATTAGACACAGGAGTGACTATGGGACTGGCAACCGCAGAGGACGCTGCAGAAGATGGGACCCCAGAAGTGGGGGGACGTTTTGAAACACAAGAATAAGAAACACGGGGTAGTCTCCCTTGGAGGCAGAGATGAGAAACTGCCATAGCATAAGGGGGACCTTCTGCCTCTTTGAGGCAACGAATTTCCCGCTCATTTAAGTAGACCTGGCAATGGTGACAGTACGAAGGGTGAGCCTCACGACAATTAAGGCAAGAGGGAGGTCGACTGCAAGACGTATTAGAATGGTCATTGGCACCACAGACTGGGCATTCGGCTATAGATCTGCAATATTTTGCTGGGTGGCCAAATCGCCAGCAATTTCTACACTGTTGCAGTGTAGGGATCACCTTTCGAACTTGTAACCGATGTCCTGCTACATAAACAGAGAATGGGAGTTCACGGCTGTCAAAAGTTAAACGAGCCACATTGCAAGGGTATCGTCTCCGTCCGCAGGCAGGAAGAAAATAAGTGTCTACCTTGAGAATTGGGAGATCTTGGAGTTCCAGCTGTTAGAAAATGTCATTGCCACATGTCTGGAAATTCTGTTGGACTATGGTATGGGGCAGAATGACAGTACCACTAAAAGAATTGAGGGAATGATGTTTTTCGATAGTGATAGGAATAGTATTGATATGTGAAAGAAGAGAAAGATCATGAGCTCGGGTAGCATTCTGGACTGTGATGATGCACGTACCACTCTTAAGAGCATGAAAGGAAATATCTCTACCAACATGGCGTAGGAGCACTTTGTCAATACTATGGTCGGAAAGATAGGGAGTAGAAGAAGTCGGTCTTAAAGTAAAGAATTTAGTCCATTGTGTGGTCCGAAACTGAGTGTGGAGAGGGAGTGCATGACTTGTCGGTCTTTTCCGAGTAGATTGGGAAGGTAACGAAGTAACATCATCAGGAGATTGTCGTTGGCGTTTAGAAGTGGGACCAGAGTTGGTCCGACATAGGATGGGCTGGCGATTCGAAAATTGCTGCACCATAGAGGGAGAGGCTGGAAGCATAGTCAAAGTAGGCAAAGGAGAGCGGAGGTCAGACAAATTGAAGGAGTCAGACGAAACAGCACCAGCAAGAGGTACAGGGTCCTTAGGAGTGTCCAAAGTGTGGTCAAAAGACGAGGCGAGGTCAGAACGGGGTGCAGTAACAAGAGGACCTCAGCACCGCAAATAGCGCAGATGCAGCATGGAACCTGTGCCATACCCTACTCTTCATGCCAGTAAACCAGCAATCCTGGATAGCAACCTCACATCTGCTGAGCTACCTCGGTGGACAAAAGAGAGGGTGGCCGGATATCCGCCACAAAGCATACCTCCTTCGGCCACCACCCCCGGAGTCCGAAAGGTGGCTTCCAGAGATACACCCGTCGCCCGAAAGACACCCAAAGCTACCCTCCGGGATACCGGAGAGGGAAAGGAACATCCCCAGGCAATCCAGATTCCACAGCAAACTACGCCACCGCCAAGAACCTCAACGGAATGGGATGGACCCCAGTACCCTTTTCCCTACCTAGGAACTAGCATGCCAGTGGGAAAAATCCCAAAGGACAAAAAGAGGAAGGGCAAAAGGGAGGGGTGGGGAGGAGGAGGAGGAAAGGAAAAAGGGGAGGATGGGGAGGACAGGATAGGGAAGGGGGGATTGGGGGTAATTAGGTTCGGTCTGAGGAAGGAGACCGAGAGGTCTAATTCCTCAGACGAAGAGCCTCTTCACCACGCCAAGGAGCCCTCCTTGAAGAGGTGTTGTATAGTTTAAATACTGCCATTTGCACACAGTACCGTATCTTGAAAAGGATGCCTACTGTTTCACTCTCTCTCTCCTTTTCTTTCTCATATTCATTTTCTCTCTCACTGTTGATCCCATAGGAATCATACAATGCCTGGGGAATGAGAGGTAATCAGGAATGATCTGAGGAAAGAGAATACAATACTATCAATGCATAAACACCAGTGGTCCACAAGTATCTAGCCAAGAAAGGAATGTACTCATTTAACTCATTTGGTGAAACAAGCAATTTTATTTAGGTACAGGTATACATAAGTACAGGTCAGCCATCACTAATCTGGCATCACTGGGACCTGTAGTGTGCCAGATTAGTGAGTTTGCCGGATTACAGAGTGATTAGGTTAGAATACATTTAATTAACCTATCAACAGAGAGACTTTCTGCTACATCATCTTCATTTTCATCACTGCTTTCTCCTCCACTGCCTTGCTGCTGTGGATTTACAACCATCTGCACAATTTCTGAGTCAGTGTAATGATGAAATTTGAAATTATGCTAGTTGAAATTAGTGCTGGATTACTGATGGAACCGGATAACTGATTGCCAGATTAGTGATGGCCGACCTGTACAACTATCATACCTAGTGACATGTAAATTACCCAGGATAACCAAAAAAAGAAGTCTAAGAGATTTATTTCCACTAGGGTCCCTGTAATATCTTATTATTTAAAGCCTAGCTGTGAAATACAGTAGAAATCAGTCATGATTATAACCTTAAATGCCAGAACTAGATTTGATGCCTCAATCACTTTCAGGTTCATGCTTCTGAGTAAGGAACTTAACGTAATTTTTGCTAGTGTCCTAGTGACAAAAAATAATAATAGCATAGTAAAATAAAATTATTTAATAATTTCCCCAATACTGTTTCTTATCTCACTCTCATGTGAATGTTTACAATAATCACTGCTTTACATTAGCAATGAATTAATCTCTCTCAACTTTTTTGGACTATCCTAGGTAATTTAAACTATGTATGATAATTGTACTTATGTGTACCTGTACCTAAATAAACTTATTTCCCAACTTGATTTGTTCAGCACTGTAGAAACCTTCTTTCCTAGCAAAAGTTGAATACCAATCACCTTAAACCTTTAATAACCCAACAAAAAGCTGCTGTGCGGATGATTACCAACTCCTGCGCCAAGCAACACACCCCACCGCTCTTCAAGAGCTTGAACATACTTAATATACAAAATATACACTCATTATTGTGCCTGCTATATATACTGAACATTAACCTTCAATATAAACCCTCTGCTTAAACTTCTCCTTGATAGTTATAACAGAATGTGCAGGCATAACACAAGACACAAAACACCTTGATATCCCTTGTGTCCATCTTGAACTATGCAAAAATGCAATGCACATAAAATGCCCGAATATCTGGAATTCATTGCCTGAACCAGCAAAAGGTCACCTGCCTGCAAATCAATTAAGGGCTAAACTTAAAAATCATCTCTTCTTCTTCTTTCAACAAACCGGCCATATCCCACCAAGGCAGGGTGGCCCCAAAGAGAAAAACAAAAGTTTCTTTTTTTACCTTTAGTAATATACATATACAGAGAGGGTTGCTAGCCTCTTGCTCCTGGCATTTTAGTCGCCTCTTAATGACACATGGCTTATGGAGAAAGGAGTCTGTTCCACTTCCCCATGCAGAAAAAATCATCTCATTTCTCAATATTAACCATACCAATACTATGCTAAATCATTTAACCAGTTTGAAGCAACTCTCTCAATTATTTTATGACCTCTAATCTATGTATTAAAAAATTAATACATACTTAAAATTGTAATCTTGTCTCATTATAAATTGTACTACTTGTAATACTGTTATTTGTTACATGCTGCATCAAGACTATACATCTTATTAACTATAAAACTTCTTGGTTACCTTACAGTAGAAATTAGGTAATATAATGAATAATTGAAATTTACCACTCTTTAACCTGTCTAGACTAAAGTAGTCTTTACACCACAAAGGAATTTTTCAAGTGCCAAAAGCAGGGGTGAGGAACATCCAGCCTGCAGGCCGTATAAGGCCCGCAAAATCAACCAAAGTTCCAGCCATCACATTAGAAGTGAATTCATTGCTAATTTTTAAGTTGATAATTTTGTAAGGCCTGAGAATGATATAAATATCCAAATGGTCCTTGGCAGAAAAAAGGTTCCCCACCCCTGCCTAAAGCAAATACAGCCTCTCCTCACTTACCGACGTACTCGTTTACCAAACTTGGATTTACGACAGGCTCTCTAACCAGTTTGCATACCTAAATAATGTATATGAGGTGATTTCTCCTATTCTGTTTATTACAATATACAGTACCTACTGTATAAACATTTAAAAATACGTATACCAGAAATGTTATAAATGGTGCAAAAGTGACATTAAAATAATATCAAAGATGGTTGACACATACCCACTACCATTATAGTATGCTCCTCACTTCGTGGCTAATTCGTTTATTGACGTGGTCTTAGGTACAGAACTCCATTGTTAAGTGAGGAGAGGCTGTACATCTGAACTGAATACACCTACCATCCAACTTACGACCGAGTTCGGTTCCGAGGAACCGGTTGTAAGTCGAAATGGTCGCAAGTCGAACTTTACTACTGAATATCAACAAAACATTTTTGTAATGACTTTATTTTATTGTTTTATTTTGGTATTTCATGTTTTACTTTACTTTTTATGTTGTTAGTACTGTATTTTATACTGTAAGGTTTAGGATAAACACTGTGTACAACACAAATAGTTGTTTATTTCCCAGAAATTTGGCATAAAAAACACGGTCGTAAGTTGAGTGGTCATAAGTCGAGCAGGTCATAAGTCGGATGGTAGGTGTATTATATAGTGAATTACAGTGATTATAGTGAAAATGAATAAAAGTTTGATCAGTACCTGAATGTACGATGGAGCCCAGGTACCAACACCAGCTGGGCATCTTAAGACATGGTTGAGAATAAACAAATGGTCATAGCGAGTTGCAACCCTTAGTAGTATAGCAACCAGGTCAGTTAGCCACTGCCTTGTATCTCTAACAAACTGCTGGTCCTTCGTTCCTCGTCGCTGAAATGCAAAAAGTACACTAATACAGGTGCATAGTTTCTCCACATGGGAACGTAAATGAGGTTTGTGGTCCCTGCTGCTGCTGGTGCCAATTTTGTCATGTTTTGAAATCTGCATAAAATCTGGGCAATCACTCAATATATTCTGCATGTAGTTTTCTACCTGAAGCTTAGACATTTCAGCTTCATAAGCATGGAGAGCATAAGAATCTGAAAGAAGCTCTCTTGTCTGTTTCAACTGCCTTGATACATGAGTACATATTTCCTCTTTGAAGCAAGCTACTTCATATTCATGCTTGACTGTCAAAAGACGACCGTCTTCGCAATCCCCTTCCTCGGTTGTCGTTCGTTTCTCAAACAACCATACATTTCCTTTTTGCTTCTTATATTCTTCTTGGAAAGTTGCTAGTTCCTTCTGGCTGCCAATTAAATTAGTTCTTGCACGCAAATACAGTAGAACAAGTTCATAGAATTCCAACTGAGGGGTGTTTCTCTCTTGTTCAGTGAAGTGTGCTATAAACCTATCATTCTCATCAAGTTCATTATTTTGATAAAGAGAATGTATCTGAACTTCTGTCATAGGTTGAACAACTGTCTCTTCTGTCAATTGGACTTTCAGCTTGACAGAAGGCTTTGTTACAACACTATCGCTAACTCCACCATCAGAACTAGTTCTAGATTCAGTGGCGATTTCTAAAGTACTTTCTGTTTCATGAAATAGAGGGGCACTGGCTAAGGCGTCCCCACTGATTTCACACTCTCCTGTCACTACATCACCATTGATGGCAACACTCATCACATTCACAATATTCTGCACTTTTTCACAGGCACTCTGACTATATGGAGGGACACTAAAGTCGGACAACTCATCATGCTGTTTGTTTACAGAGTCCTCAATAACAAGCTCTTTCACTTGCTGCTGTAATTTAAAATACGGTTCTATCTCAACTAGCCTCCGCTGTAGAGCAATAAAGTCTGAAGATGAGGACTCTGTGACTGCTTCCACCTTTGCCTCTGTTTTCTCATTATCTGAGAAGGAATTTTCACCAATGTCTCCTTTTGAAATTTCGATCTTGCATGTTTGAGGTTGTTCACAAGCTTTGCCACTTTCCAGTATATATTCATCGACTTCATGTGAGGATAGTAACTTTTGTTCCGCATCCTGCTCTCTCTCTGGGCTAACAATATCAGCCGAAGATGCATTATCTTGTGTCTCCAGTGGTGGTAGTGGAAAGTCTCCATATTCTACCAATAACTCCCTCATTGATGTATCCTCCTGGACATTATCCTCATGTGCTCTGGTTTTAGAACATTTTTCAGGTACCACTTTCTGGAAAATAAAAAATTATTTCAATGAAATATCCTTATACAAATTTATTTAAAGATGGGAATGCATACACACAAAACTAAGGCAAAATATTATGATACTGTACCAGTAATTATTATTATTATAATCAAAAAGAAGCACTAAGCCACAAGGGCTATACAGCGCTGCAGGGTAGGGAAGGAAGCAAGGGTATTGGGAGGCAGAAGGGAGGAGTGATGATCAGTAGGTTACAGAAAACAGCAGGGCAGGGGAAAGTACGGGGGTAGAGGGTAGCAAGAGATTTAGGTAGAAAGGGCTGAAGGTATCAGAATTTGTGAAGTCAGTCAGTTGTTGTCAAAAAGTCAATGAGAGAGTCTGGATGAAAGGTGGGTCCATCAGCGAGAAGGGAAGATAAAGAGAGAGCAGCGGAGCGAAGACGACGACGGAGGTAAATTCTGCGTGCTCATTGATAAAGTGGGCAGTCCAACAGAATGTGGCTAACTGATAATGGAGCCTGGCAATTCTCACAGATAGGAGCAGGGCGCCTCTCCATGAGATATCCATGAGTAAGACGAGTATGGCCAATGCGAAGACGGGAGAGAGTAGTCTCCCAACCTCGACACTGGTGATAAGAAGACGGCCAATAACCTATACATGTACTCGGTTTAATAGACTGAAGTTTGTTACCGAGCATAGTAGACCAACGTTGTTGCCAACGGGTGTGAAGGTGGGAAGATATTGCAGCAAAATAGCCCGCAAATGGAATACCTCTATATGAAACTGGTAGGTCATGTACTGCTGACCGCACAGCAGTGTTTGCCTGTTCATTGCCCTGTACGTCAACATGACCAGGGACCCAACAAAAAACAATATCTTTATGCTTGGTAAAGATGCGGCGTAGCCAAAGTTGGATACGGAGGACTAAGGGGTGAGGTGTATCAAATTTCTGTATAGCCTGTAAAGCACTAAGGGAGTCTGAGACAACCACAAATGATGACACGGGCATAGATGCAATACGGATAAGTGCTGCAAGGATGGCATACAATTCAGCAGTAAAAATACAGTGGACCCCCGCATAACGATCACCTCCCAATGCGACCAATTATGTAACTGTATTTATGTAAGTGCGTTTGTATGTGTATGTTTGGGGGTCTGAAATGGACTAATCTACTTCACAATATTCCTTATGGGAACAAATTCGGTCAGTACTGGCACCTGAACATACTTCTGGAATGAAAAAATATCGTTAACCGGGGGTCCACTGTACTAGCCGAAGATAGTAAATGCCCTCGTACGACACTGTCCAGAAACACTGCTGCGAATCCTACTCTGTCAGAAGACTTAGAGCCATCTGTGTACACAGCAATGGCATGAGAATGAGAGTGGAAGTGGTCAAGAAAGAGAGAGCGGGAAGCGACCATAGACAGTTGGGCTTTCGAGCAAGGGAGAGAGAAAGAACAGACTCGAACAGCTGGAACTTCCCAGGGGGGTAGGGAAAAGTGAGATGCTACATGAACATAGAAAGGTGGTAATTGAAAAGAAGACAAGAGCGAATGAAGGCGAAGAGAGAAGGGACGGAGTAGACAGGGGCGGCGAACAAATAAAGAATGTCTACTAATATCAGTGACCATTCTATAAATGGAAGGATTGCGGAGATCATGAGAGCGTACATGGTAGCGAAGGCAATGGGCATCATGGCGATCGGATAAGGATGGAAAGTTCGCTTCTGCATAGAGGCTCTCAACAGGGGAAGAACGAAAAGCACCAAGGCATAAACATAATCCTTGGTGATGAATGGGGTTACGGCTAGAGAGAGTAGCAGGATATGCCGCTGAATAGATCTGGTCACCATAATCAAGTTTCGATAAAATGAGGGGGGAATGTAGGCGAAGGAGGGTTCGACGATCAGCTCCCCATGAAAGATGAGAAAGGGTTTTAAGAAGGTTCAGCCGGCTGTGACAAGTTGCCTTCAGAGAGGTAATGTGAGGTTTCCAGGATAACCTACAGTCAAAGAGGAGGCCCAAAAACTTGACTGTATCACGTTCAGGGATATGGGAGCCATAGAGGTACAAAGGATGATCGGAGATGACAGAGCGTCTAGTGAAAGTAATTTGGTGGGTTTTAGTGCTGGAAAATTTAAACCCATGTGTGGTGGCCCAATTGGAAACACGGTCGACCGCATGCAGGAGAGAAACTGTAATGAGGTGACAGTCAGCGCCTGCACAGGCAACAGCAAAGTCATCAACATAGAGTGATGACCAAATATTTGATGGAAGACTAGAGGCCAAATCATTAACCCTTTGAGGGTTGACAGGCCCTCTCCGAGACTCGTTCTCAGGGTCGGCCAAATTTAAAAAAAAAAAAAAATTTCTTATGAAAAGATAGAGAATCTTTTCCCGATCATAATGACACCAAATTTATGGAATTTGATGGAAAACTTACGGAATTATGCTCTTGCGAAGTTAGCGGTCACGGCGATGTTTACGCATCAGCGATTTTGCCCACTTTGAGCCCCATTTTCGGCCAATTCCACTGCACTAGTCGACAAAAAACATGAATATTTCGCTAGAACTCCATTTTTTCTATCGAATGAGTGCAAGAAACCATCCATTTACCAATTTCAACTATCCAGTACAGTGGTCAGAATTTAGCAATTTTGCCAATTTCACACAAATTTCAAAAGATGCCAATTTCCGAATAGGGTCCAGAATAAACAAGACATTCCTAGCACTAAAATGACATTTCCTTTGTTCATTAGTCACGTCTCAAGGCCCCTCTTACATTCTTTTGCTTTCCACTTTGAATTTTTATTCTCAGAAAAAGTAGATGATTTACTGTTATGCAGACTACTGCATTAGTGTAAAAAATGGTATAAATAATATTGGCGCACTTGCAAAAGAATATTAGACTCACCAGTTGACGTGTATTGGACGCTTGGCATGATTTGTTTACTTTTGAACTTCGGTAAAATCGAACATTTCTGCTACTTTGAGCTCAATTTCAAGGTACTTTTCATTGTAAAACCAGTCAAAATCATCTCAATTTCTGTAATATGTCTTCCATTCTATAAAATGAGACCAAGAAAACTAGAATACAACAATAAATACCATACGAAAATACAGTGCAAAGTCACTGTTTCATTCCAAAAAAACAGTCAGTTTTTTTTTCTCATTATGCACTGTGTGCTGCAGGACTTTTTTTATACTGTGCACACTGACCACACAGACCCATTCTTTCATATGTAGGCCTACCAGCTTTCTCCCACTAGATTTGAGGGCGCTAGCCATACTAGTACGGCCGAAACCCTCAAAGGGTTAATAGCAAGGAGAAAAAGTTTTGTGCTCAGAACATCCCTGGGGGACACCTTCAGCTTGGATAAAGTCCGGGGAGAGCACATTATTAACCCGAACATGGAAATGTCTATCAGTTAAAAAGTTCTTAAGGAAGGATGGTAGATTGCCTAGGAGGCCTAAGGAGTGGGTTTGGGCCAAAATATTATACCTCCAAGTTGTGTCATATGCCTTCTCAAGGTCAAAAAATATGGCAATAACTGAGTGGTTATTTGCAAAGGCATTACGAACATACGTATCCAAGAGTAGTAAGGGGTCTATGGTAGAACGTCCCTTAATAAATACCACACTAAACGTCTATTTACCAGGCGTTCCATCACTTTGCAAACTGCACTGGTAAGAGCAATGGGACGATAGTGGGAGGCTTCATGTCCCGTAGTGCCCGGTTTGCGGAAAGGGAGAACAATGGCAGATTTCCACAGCTGTGGAAGAACTCCTTGTGACCAAATAAGATTGAAAAGGCGTAATAGGACTGCAAGTGCTGACTGATGTAAATGTTGTAGCTTACGAATATGAATGTCGTCGGGCCCAGCTGCCAATGATCGGCAAGCTGAGAGTGTTGCCTCCAGTTCCTGAAGTGTAAAAGGCACATTATACTGTTCTTCTCTGAGAGAAGAAAAGTCCAAGGGTGCTAACTCTCTGGCAGACTTTTAGGAAAGAAATGAGGGGCATAGATGGAGCCCCTGAGAAATACAGATCAGATGATTGCCAATTTCATTGGCAACATCTAGTGGGTTTGCTATATCAACACCGGCAACCCGCAGAACAAGAGCCGGGTCAGGAGAATATTTACCATTCAGTTTTCGTACTTTTTTCCAGACTGCACTCATAGAGGAAGCAGAGGTGATGGTGGAGACATAATCTCGCCAGCAAGTGCGTTTAGCATCACGGATGACGCGGCGAGCGATCGCGCGCTTCTGCTTAAAATCAAGAAGTCTCTCCATGGTTCTATTGTACCGGTACCTGCCCCATGCAGCGTTTTTCAAACGTACTGCACGAGCGCAAGCAGGAGACCACCAAGGCAAGCATTTCTGAGAATGCCTGCCCGAAGTTTGGGGTATAGAATGAGAAGCTGCGGTTAAAACGGAGGACGAGAAGAGGTGTAAAAGCTCATCAATGGAGGACGAAGAAGGGGCCTCACTAAAAACAGTTAGTTGTGAGTAAAGGTTCCAATTTGCCTGATCAAATTGCCAGCATGGGATACGAAGAGGTGGTGAATATGAAGGGGAAGTAAGAATGATTGGGAAATGATCGCTGTCATGTAAATCCGGGAGAACAGACCAGGTGAAGTCTATTGCAGCAGAGAAAGAGCAGACTGAGAGATCGATGCAAGAGAGAGTGTGAGTCCGAGGATCAAAATGGGTGCGAGTACCGGTATTTAAAACATGGAAGGGGTGGGTAGCAAGAAAAGCCTCTAACTGAATGCCACGGGAATCACAGCGAGACCCCACCCAGAGGAAATGATGGGCATTAAAATCGCCAAGTAACAGAAGCGGTGGCGGTAATGACGAAACAAGAAAGGCAATATCCAGAATAGATAATGCCCAAGAGAGATATAAAGAACAGAGCGTATACCACCTATGCAAGTGGATACGGGCTGCTGTGTAATGCAGCAAAGTATGAACAAATAGCTGATGGTACGGAATATCAATGCGTAGAAGAAGGACACTTTCA